AGCTGGAACATTAAGTAGCTGGTTTGTTGGTTGGTCAGTTCATCACAAAGTGCTTTACAAAGGAGTTTTGTGTCGTTGTCCATATCTTACATCTCATCTTGAAAACAGAAATTTAGTTTTCCATCTCTGCTGAAGGACATGGTGATGCAAAAATCTTAATAAGTTTTTTTTGAAAGTAAGGAAGAAAAGCACAGATAAAATCCAAAGATAAAATTCTGGGTTTCTGTCTCACCAGTGGAGACAAAAATCACAGGCACAGCTAACAAGATAAGAGAGAAAAGGTCTAAGAGGGTGCAGGAGCTAAAATAATGTCTTGATTTTCCACAGTTCTTGTTGCACCTGAGGATCTGGGCATAGAGGGCTAGTCAAGGTCACTGGGTACTTGCAACGACCAGTGTGTGAGTTATTAGCTCTGGTCCTATTTTAAGTTCCTAAAGTCAGAGAGTTTTGCCTGGAGGGCGGGACAATGGGTTCATCTGCTCCTTGCTGGAGCCAGCGAAGGGTGGAGGAGTCATTCAGGCATGGTGAAAGGGGAATTGCCCACAGGAAGGACACTTGGGCCAGCCTGAGGTGCAGCAAGTCCTTCTCTGCCAGGCTGCTGCCTTCCTGCAGGACCTCCCCAATGCTGATGACCCTTCTGTGGGGACAGGAGGGTCTGTGGGTTTAAGGGCTCACTAAACTGCCAGATGTGAGGGCAGTTCCCAGGAAGGTCCTAGCTGACCCACATGCTCCTTGCCTATCACCCTATGTCCGCCACTGTCCTCTACAAACACCTCAACTCTGAGGATGTGATAGGCAAGTGAGTCCCAATCCAGGTCCCCTGGCCTCCTGCCTCCCCACAGGGGCCATGGGAAACATTGTGGGGCATGGGGACAGGCACAGCAAGGCACTCCTTGCACACACACACGTGTTTCTCTTCTCACCATCTCTCCTAGGGTTCGCTCTTTCCTGCAGAGTGAAAATGGGTTCGGGATTGTCCTGGCAGGCTGTAGGACGGCCGGGGGGATGCGACGAGCCACAGCGGGCAGGACCTGACCGGTCAGGGTGGGCTGTGCTGGAGTCAGGCAGGGCATGGATGCGAACTGTCCCGGTCAGGAGGGGCAGGGCTGGGGGCAGGCAGGGCAGGGCTGGGGAGCTGCCCCAAGCGGGGAAGGCAGGGCTGCTGGGGGTGGGTCCGCAGCCAGCCCTGCCTTTCAAAGTCCCTCCATCCGAGGAGGAAATCGGGAAATATTTCCAGCAGCAGGGGGACGAGGAGGAGGGCTGAAGCTGCTACCGCGGAGGAGGGAGGTCTTTCCCTGCCCGCGCATCGCGGCGGAGGGATGCGGAGGGAGGGGAGGCTGCCTGCGGGGCGGGCTGGCTGAGCGCATCCCCGGGGCGCTGCGCGCGTGTGTGTGTGTGCGCGCGCGCTCCCTCCATCCATCCCTCCATCCCTCCCTCCCTTCCTTCCTCCCTTCTCCCTCCCTCCCTCCCTCCCTCTCTCCCTCCCGCCCGCCGCCGCGCCTCAGCCGCGCACCGGGGCTCCGCCGCCCGCCCCGCCGCGATGCCCCGCCGCTGCTGATGCGGCCCCGGCGACGCCCGCTCCTGCCCCCCGCCAGGTAGGACCGAGACCGACCGGCCCTCGCCCCGGCGCTGCCCAGCGCGGCGGGTCCCCCGGCGCCTGGACACTGCTTTCTACACCGGCGTCGGAGTGCCGGGGGAGGCTGGGGGGGGCCGGGAGGGGGACCCGGAGCCGTGTGGGAGCCGATGGGGAGGCGGGGGTAGGATGCTCACACATCCACACACACCAGAGAATGTATTTTACAACCCAGCCACGGCACCTTTAGGCAGGCGATGGGGCTCGCCCCCCTCCCCCGCCGGCCAATCGCGACATGTCGCGACGGGAGGCGCGGCTGCGGCGCGGTGTTGCCTCCCCCCTACCCCAAGAGCCGGGCGTTGCTGGGCAGGTGGGGTCGGGCAGGGGACCGGAGCAAATCTCCTTCCCCGGGGGGCTTACGGGCGCATCCCCCCGTGCGCGGCGGGGTGCGGTGCCTCCGCCTGGCCGGGGCTGTGCGTGCCTCCAGGCAGGGTTGCTTTTCCTGCCTTGAGGCGGTTCCTGAGGTGAGTGGTCGGAGGCACCTGCAGCCACGCTGAAATTTCCATTTTCATCTCGAGCATCATGTGTTACTAAGGGCTGGTATTAAGCAGCGCTCATCACGTAGGCTTTGTCTAGGTGGAAGCATGGCTGGGGCTCTTCCGTCATCTTGAGTTTAATTCTTTATTCGCAGCCTTGTTGCTTCCCTCCCCACCGAGCCATGCAAAACAACTCCACACTCTGCTGTGTCTCCAAGGCGAAAGCAAACTGCCAAAATGTTGCAGAAAGGCAGCAAGCACTAGGGAGAATTGGAGTCTGAAAATGAAAGCTGTAGTAAAACCACAAGGTCACAGGCATGTGGGTGCAAGTGTGTGATTTCAGGGGACCTCTTTGCTTGTGCTTTGCAGGAAGATGTTCCTCCAGTCCCAAATGTTGGAAATTTGCGAGTCAGGTAATGGAAATGAAGGCTGAGAGAGGCTGGGATTCTTTGAGTGCTCTCCTGACACTTGCCTAGGTATTCATGTGCTTTTTGTCACCACCACAAAAAGGAGAGATGCACTTTTATTTAGAAAAGGGAAGCTGGGACACTTACATGTTGATGTGATGGTGGCATCTAGGAAAAAACGAGCTGTTCTATATGGCTTTGGCTGGGGAAGTGGATATCACCAAAGAAAGGCATTTGTAGTCCCTTGGGAGCACCTATGAAATGTTTCTTTCTCCCCTTTCCTTCCAAATGATTCTTCAGTAGCAGCTTTGCCCCTTGTTCAACACAGACATTTAGTCCAAATAGGGAAATAATCTAGCATTTCTAGAGCCATAACCTGCCAGCCAAGCCATGAACCCCCCCCCCACCAACTCCCCAGGAAAGCTGATGCATTTTCTGACTCCTCTTACACCCCACCAGCTCTGTTTCTCTGGAGACGTAAACAACTCCTAAGTCAGTGTTGGGAAGCCACGTTGGCCAAAGCTTCCTCTGTACCAGGGTTTGCATTCAAGATACCTGAGGAGGTTGGACATACTCTTTATGTCAAGCATCTCTGAATGCCAACACCAAGTAGCACAGTTTTAAGGTGATGAAACTTTGCTTTCTTCTCTCTCCCCCCACTTTCACTAAGGTTTTTGTGATCTATTGGCTGTGAATTGCTCCCGAGACTTAAAACAGGCTTCACCTGTTTTTCTCTCCTGGTACTGCTGTACATGACATGGCAGAACTTTGGCTTATGTCCTTGCTCCTGGGAGTCTCTACATCACCTTAAATGATGTTATATAGGCACAGCCACTTCTCTGCCTTTTGTAGTGTCCAGATCTGCTCAGGGCTTTCAGAGTTGCAATTTTCTGGCATTACATCTAGGACAGAATTTGCTTTTCTGCTGTGGTTTTGAGGGGATACTGTCATGGCTTACCAGGGTAAACCTGTTGTTCTCCAGCATCCCAAAGAAACTTAGAACCTGGAATAAAGCCCAGTGACCCCCAAGACACAAGCATCACTGAAGAGCCAACCAACAGGTTGGTGATAGACAACACATGTCTATGGCTCTCCTTGTGACTGCTACAGGGAAGAACCTGGAGCTTTGTTCAGCTCTATGTGCTGTAATCTGCATGTGCTCCCAGCTCACGGACACTGATGCCCACAGCTGTGCAAATCTGGGCTCCACCTGGATCTGCTACAGGGTGCTCAGGGTGCTGTGCTGTTGAGACTCTGGCATCCAGTATGGGCTGAGCCCACTGACCAGTCTTTCCCTTGCAGAGGACATAAGTGGTATCTCTCCAGCTATTTTCAGGAAGCTTGTAGGAACTTGGTTTTTTCTGCTATCTCTATCCCTCTGGTGATTTTAGCTGAAATTGGAAAGAGGGGGGAGCGATGCGAACAGACAGACAGACGTGGAAACTGTGATTTCATATGCCCGGCTTCCTAAGGAAACCTGGCTACAAATAGAAGTGAGATTTGGTGTTGCAAAGAGCTCCTGGGGAGACAGAGAAGGAGGGGGAATCTAAGGAGAAGGGAGAGGTGGTTAACCTTGTGTTTGAGGTAACAAAGGCCTGGCACACACCTGGGCTTAGATTCCCTTTCCTGAGTTCTGGGGGTCTAAAAGCTGGGCATCTGCTTGGCGCTAGCATTCAGCTCCCTCTAGAGTCAGCCGTGCCAGAGCTGTCCCTATGGACGGTGACTCTGCTGGGAGGTGA